GCGATAAATTGTTTTCTTGTTTTTTTCCTAGCTATTTTATAAACAAGCACACCCTTAATAGTTGGCACACATTTATTCCTATTTTCCCTTCCCAAGAAGTACTGTGGATTTGTTTAGCTAAATTAAAAATTAGACTTTGATTTTTTTCTTATCCCAAGTATGCGTGCTTTCTCTTGTATTATTGTTCGGACCCACACAAACGCAGCACACACAACACAAAACAACACAGATGCTTACTCAGACCAATATTTATGAACAGAATCTCGTAACAAATTGTTATTATTATATTATTATCTTAAAAATCCAACCTTGAGTTCATGCTTCTTCAAAGATTTTGTCTGATGATGATTACAGGCTGCTCCTCGACCAGGGAAACCGGGTACACAAGAAGTGGTCACAGAGCCCAATAACATTCTCTTTGTGCAAAATCTACCGCCTGAAACAAATAGCCACACTCTAGAAGAGGCTTTCAAAAAGTTTGAAGGCTACAGAGAAATTCGTATGATCGAAGCAAAGCCGGGTATTGCCTTTGTAGAATATGAAAACGACTCCTGGGCCTTGGCTGCCATGGAGAGCCTTCAGGGCTTTAATATCGCTCCCCAGTATCCAATGTTCATTACGTATGCTAAAAAATAAAAAAAAAATCAGAGTTTTATATTTTTGGCACAGTACTCGATTTCTATTCCTGGTATTTGCTCCAATACTGTTTGTGTAATTGTACGAGTGAATTCAAGGTACTCTAGATGCAGCCTGATCCTTTGTTCTATTCGTTAACTGTTAACTTGGGCGATGCAGTTTTGCTTTGGAATTTATAAATGTGCCTTTTGGGTGTTGCTTCGTATGCTTTATTTTATCGTTGCTTAAAAGCTGCTTTGGATTTCAATCAAGCTTGGATAAATATGTTTGAGTTCGGTTTGATGATTAACGTTGTCGATCTCTAGCTGAGCCAAAAAGGTTGGAGCTCGAGTATCGTCATGTTAGAAAGAACAAGTGCGACAAGTTGACTAGTTTAACGGTTAGGTTGTTTCATATAATTTGTAATTTTTTTAAAGCTTAGAGAAAGTTTATAGATATGTGTTGATGTAATATAAAAATAGAAAAATAATAAGTGTACAAATTAGTAGTTAAAAAGATATAATTTGTCATTCAAACCTTCAAAAATAACACAAAAATATGTTAAATCAATGTAAATGGGCGTAATGTATAGTATTTTTGTTTTGAATGTCTTTATGTTTTTTTGGTACAGGGACCTTCCGGTATCTGGATTCACAGAGGAACCGACTAATTCGGAACCGAGTCGAGTAGGACCACAAGGGCGGCAAAGCTCTCCCTCAAGAGTTTTTAACACTACTGCATTTCCAGGACTCGAACACGAGACCACTGGTTAAGCTGGAAGAGACCCAAGTCATCTCATCCAAGAGTTTTTAACACTGCTGAATGGCTTTATGTTAAGTCAATGTAAATGACATTTAAAACAACACAAAAATATGTGACGGGTCTTCATGTTATTTTTATTTTACTTTTTAATGAATCGGGTCAGTCTGGAATCGGTGGATTAGCGAACCGGCTCAAAACCGCCGGTTCGCCGAATCGGTCCGTGCATTTGTTCGGGCCGACCAAC